AGAGAAGGGTGGAGGCCCCAGGCAGCCCCGTGAGAGACAGCAGGTGGTGAACTGCGTGCGCCCTGGAGTCAGATAGGTTTGGTCTCAGAGCCCAGTGCCTCCACTTATTAACTGTGCTGGCTGTGTGATCTGGGCAATTTATATCTCTAAGCCTCAGTCTTCAATTTTCTCATCTATAACATGGGATGACAGAACATACATACCTCATAGAATTGTTGCAAGGATTAATTAAAGTTATCCATGTAGCATGCCTCATTCCTCCCTGTTGATGTGGTGTGTGTGTGTGTGTGTGTGTGTGTGTAGTTTCTGGCTCTATGTGTATTTTTAATTTTATGCCTCATTCTAGGCCAAGCATCCTGTGCAGGCCTCAGAAGGCCCAGAGTTCTGTTCTGCTATTTGTTTTTTTCTGCTTTCTTTAGAAAATTAAGAGTGTGAGGTGGTGTCCTTGACTGAATATCTGACTTCCAGCTCCCCCAACACCAGCTTGCTGGGCAGGCTGAGAGCAGCATATTCACACTTTTCCAAGCAGTGTCGGGAGCAATAGAAGCTATGAACCTGGAGCCTGGAGCCAAGGGAGCCCGGCGACTTTGGGAAGGAGAGACCAAATCAGCCCTGGGAGGGGAGAGCCTATAAGCTGCAGCGCCCCAGATGGCAGCCTCCTCAGGCCACCTCAGAAGCCGCCTCTGTGGCCTAGCTCCTCTTGTAATTTGCACAATAGACCAGAAGATGGGGCTCTTGACTCTGGAGTCAAGGGCCAGAGGCTCTGACTTGTTTCTTGTTTGAACTGGAGGGAAATCAGACGCATCACAGCTCCCAGGAATCCTCTACCTCCTCAATCCTCTCCCTACGCTGCCCACTCAAGCCCACTCCCATGGCTGAGAGGTGTCTTTCTGGGGAGAGGGGAATGTAGGCATATCTTTCCTTTGGTCACCATCCTTGGCCCCTCCTGAATTACATTGCCAGAGCTAGTCTAACTGACCCCTTGCCTCAGGTTTCTTCCTCTAAACGGCTTGCCCCTAATGGCAGATTTGGGCAATGGTACCACTTACATGGGACATGTTGCGTAAAGACAAACAGCTAGTAGAATCAGACAGACCTGTCCTTGGCTCATCTCATCAGGTGAAGCTCTCCTCACCTCCTCAGAGAAGTCCTCCCTGATCACCCCATTTAAAGTAGCTCTCCCCAACCCCCATGTCAATTACTCTCTATCATATAACCCTGTTATTTACTTCATAGAAGTGATCATGACCTGTAATTATCTTGTTTACTTGTTTACTCTCCCCCCACTAGATCGTAAGGCTCAAGAGGGCAAGACCCTGTTTATCTTATTGCTGTTTTCCCAACACCCAACACAGGGCTGAATACACAGATTCTTAGTAAATATGTTTGGAATTAATAAATGACTGAATCCCAGCTTAATGACTGCTTAACCTTGAGAAAGCTGCTAAACTTCTCTGAGTCTCAGTTTTCTTACCAGTGAAATGGAGAGATAATGGCTATGTAATGAATATTAAATGACATAATGTATTCACAACATTAAACCTGGGTCCTGATGCATGGAAGTGTTCTCTAAAACTGCAGTGTTCTACTTTCTATCATGTGAGAAAAATAAAGCCTGAACTAATTAACCAGCTCTCAATAATTTGGCCATAGCTTTTCTTTAGCATAGTTTTTACTCCCTACAGCTCTTCTCTGTAACTTTCCACTTTGGCCCAAATCATTGTTACCCTGAATGGGCCATATGCATTCTTCCATGAATGCCCATGTCTTTGCCCAAGAGTTAAGATGCTATGCTCACTCCCCTTACTTGGATCAACTATTTTCAGATTTAGCTCAAATCCATGTCCTCTGTGTTATGTTTCTAAAGTGCTCCAAGTCATAAAGATCATTTTCTCTTTTGAATTTTTACAATCTTCGTTGTTTATATTACTCATAGGGTTCTTATTCTATGTTCTATTATCTTGTCATTATATAAACATACAGTATATCCTGTTTCTGATTAAATTGTTACCCCCTTGGAGATATGTATTATATTTTAGATTTCTCCGCATCTTCTGTGCCATTTGGGCCTGTCAATAGTAGGTGTTCAAACATATATTTGCTAACTACTTTCTATGTGCCCAGCATTCTTTGAAACTCTGTGGAGTATATAGAAGGGCGTAAGAAAAAGCCATTGCCTTCAAACATTTACAATATTAGAGCAAGTTAAAATCAACATATAATTAAAGTAATTAAATAACCACAGCATGGTAACTGCTATGAGAAAGGCTTCTTGGAAGTGGTGGCCTTTGGGGTTGACTTTGAGACATACAGATTGATGGAAGAGAACAGAGAGCCTAGAAATAAGCCCACACCTTTATGGTCAATTAATCTTTGACAAAGGAGGCAAGAACATTAATGGGGTGAAGACAGTCTATTCAAAAATGGTGATGGGAAAATTGGACAGATACATGCAAAAAAATGAAACTAGGCCACCTTCTTACACCATACACAAGAATAAACTCAAAATGGATTAAAGGCTTAAATGTTAGACTTGAAACCATAAAAATCCTAGAAGAAAACATAGGCAGTAAAATCTTGGACATTTCTTATAGCAATAATTTTTCAGATATATTGCCTTGGGCAAGGGAAACAAAAAAACCCAAAAAATCCAAATGGGACTACATCAAACCAAAAAGTTTTTGCACGGCAAAGGAAACCATCAATAAAATGAAAAGACAACCCAATGAATGGGAGAACATATTTGCCAATGATATATCTGATAAGGGATTTCCAAAATTTATAAAGAACTTATAAAACTCAATACCAAAGCAACAAACAATCCAATTAAAAGATGGGCAAAGGACCTGAATAAACACTTTTCCAAAGAGGACATACAGATGGCCAATAGAAAGATGAAAAGATGCTTATCATCAGAGAAATGGAAATTAAAACCACAGTGAGTTATCACCTCACACCTGTCAGAACTGCTATCATCAATAAATCAACAAACAAGTGTTGTCGAGGATGTGGAGAAAGGGGAACTGTTGTGCACTGTTGGTGCAGCCACTGTGGAAAACAGTGTGGAGATTCCTCAAAAAAATTAAGAATGGAACTACCTTATGATCCAGCAATTCCACTTCTGGGAATATATCCAAAGAAACCTAAAACACTAATTCAAAAGAGTGTACGCACCCCTATGCTCATTGCAGCATTATTTACAATAGCTGAGATTTGGAAGTAGCCCAAGTGTCCATCAGTAGATGAGTGGATAAAAAAGCTGGTACATTACACAATGGAATACTGCTCTGCTATAAAAAGGAATGATATCTTACTCTTTGTAACAGCATAAATGGAGAGCATTATGCTATGTGAAATAAGCCAGTCAGAGGAAGACAAGTACCATGTTATTTCACTCATATGTGGAATCTAATGAACAAAATAAACTAACAAACAAAATAGAAACAGACTCATAGATAGAGGACAGACTCTCAGCAGTCAGAGGGGAGGGGTTTGTGGGGCTGGGTAAAAAAGGTGAAGGGATTAAGCAAAAAACAAACATGGACGTAGACAACAACTTGGTGATTGCCAGATGGAAGCAGGGAGAAGTAAAGAAGGGTATTGGGGGGGGTAGTAAATGGTGATGGAGAAATGGTAATATACACACAATATAATATACAGATGATGTGTTATAGAATTGTGCACCTGACATCTATATAATTTTATAATTTTATTAAGCAATGTTGCCCCAATAAATTCAATTAAAAAAAAGAGACTGACTTTGAGGAAAGGTTAAGATTTTGATGGGAAAAGATGGGGTGAATGTCAGAGTCAAAGGACAGGGTTAATGAAGAAAATGAAAGAGACTGTGGCAATGAATGGTAAGACTCAGAAACAGGACCAATACGGTTCTGCCTCAGTTACACTGAAGCACAACCTCGTTTCACATTTCAGGGACAATGCAAGGGGTGGTACGCAGGGGTTGAAACTTTATCATGTTCCTGACTATGGTCCTCAAGTGTAGCTTCTTTGGAGAATGAGAATGATTTGCAACAGGTCTTTTTGTTCTAATGTGACTTATCTACAGTCTGATGTGATAGTACATACAAAGAAAAAGGCTCATTCCCTCTTCTTGGGAACAGAGGATTGGTCGGATTATGGCCAGGTTCCCTTTCCTTTAAAACCCAAATCAAATTGAATGTATTACTCATGATTTTCTAAACGTGTCTTAGATCAGTAGCTCTTGTTATTAAGATAATTTGCCTTAGATTATTTCTCGGAAAAGTTGGAAGCATTTTTGTGGAATTACTTCAACAATCATCTTCAGCTCAACTCTGTGTTTTTTGCTGCCACCCTGAGACCCAGGGAGGAGACCTAAATCATAGTGAGTCTGTGGAGGGGATAGGATCACTGCCAGTCTGCTTATCTTTAATGCTCTTTAATGTGGCCACTAGCTCAGAGATTGACAAGTAATTTTAGAAGGCCCTCATCCTCAATTACTTCCTTCTGCAATCCCCAAGTGACGTTTCCCCAGAACTTAAAAAGCATGCAAGGAATAAAATCAGAAGAGACAAAACCTACACTTTCCCACTTCCCAAGGGTCAGGGGCAGCTGCAAATAGAAGCACGAGATTTTCATTTTCTAACAAGCAGTGGGAAGGACCTTCAAGCTCAGGGGCCTCTGAAGGGAGGGAGGCGGTTTCCACGGCAACCTGGGCTCCGCGGGCTGCTCCCCCCCCCCNNNNGGTAGCCCAGGGTACCGCCGGACGGCGTCCTCCCGTGCTCCGCGCCCTGATTGGCTGCACAGGCCGCTTGCTGATTGGCGGCGGCGATGCCTCGCGGGCCGGTGGCGGTGGAGGCGGCGGAGGTAGATGGTTGACCGTTGGCTGTAGGGTAGGGGTCGCCGTTGGGGCGAGCGGCTCAGATCCGACCCGAGGGCACGGGCTGCCGGCGCTCGGCCTGGAACCCGCGGGCGAGACCTTGCTCGG